TTTTTTTTTACTTAGTTTCTAAAATTTCCAATATTTGATTAAGATATTCCTTCCTCATCTTGTTCTGGGAGAGAAAAAATTGATCGTCTATAAAAGCGCTGACTGTTTACAGAACGTCTGTAAAATCCTTGCACAAAGACCACCCGCCACACAAGACCTTCCAATCAAACAAACTTCATCTTAAACTTTCCAAAAAGTTCAAAGAGATTTCCCTTCGATTAGCTTTCAACTCCCAGCAGCAATTTTTTTTTCTTTTTCTTTTTTTTATTGTTTTCACCCTCTGCGATAAAAAGTCATCGCAATAACTACAAATTTATTTATTTCTTTTTTAAATTATTAAAATTGTTTTCAAATTCAACAACTTTAATAAAATTCATTCAAATGATTCAATTATTTGCAAAACATTTTTGAAATTCAATTATTTTCAATTATTTTCAATATTTACTATTTTAAAAAGTTTTCCAAAAGAATTCAATTACTTATAGAAAAAAAAATTATAAAATTCTTTGTAAATTATTAATTAAATTATTAGTAAATAAATAATTAAAATTATTTTTATAAATAATAAAATTCTTCTCAGGAATTCAATTATTTTTATAAATAATAAAATTCTTCTCAGGAATTCATTTATTTTTATAAATAATAAAATTTATAAAAATAATTGAATTTCTGAAAGAATTTTAGAATTTATAAAAATAATTCAATATGTTTTCGAAGAATTTTATCAGAATTTTTTTAAATAATTGAATGTTTTAAAAGAATTTTATTGAAAATTTTGGAAATAATTGAATTCAATCGAAAACTATTGTGAGAACATTTAAAAATAATTAATTTTTCTTAAGAATTTTTAATAAAAACTATTGAAAATGATTGTAATGTTTTTAAAAATAATTGCATTCTTTCAAGAAATTTTATTAAAAGTTGTATTAAAATTAATTTAATTCCTGCGAAGAATTTTATTATTTATGAAAATAATTTAAATCCTCCAAAGAATAATTAAATTTTTTGAAAGAATTTTATGAATAATTTTAAAATTAATTAAATTAAATCGAATTATTTAAAAACTTTTTATAAAATTCTACCGCAAAAATTCAATTATTTTCACAAGCAATAACAATTTTCACGAAAATTCAATTATTTATAAAAATTTAAATAAATTTTCAGACAAGAATACAATTATTTTTGCATAAATAATAAAATGCTTCTCAAGAATTCAATTATTTTCCCAAATAATAAAAATTTTCACGAGAATTCAATTATTTAAAAAGAATTAAATAAAATTCTTCTCAGGAATTCAATTATTTTCATAACCTATAATGAAACTCATCAAAGGATTTCAATTATTTTTAATACAATTTTTTAATGAATTCCTCGAAAAATGCAATTAAAAATTTTATTAAAATTCTTCAAAAGAATTTAATTAAATTAAAAAATTTTGATACAATTTGTTCATTAGAATTTAATAATTATTTTTAATACATTTTTTTATTTGAATTTTTTGAAAGAATTTAATTATTTAATTATTTAATTTATTTAAAAAAAATTATTCTACTTTTGGATGTAATTTATAATTTGAAAATTATGACAAAATTGAGTCGTCAAATTCAATTTTTCGATAGCTACTTTTTTTAGTTTTAAAGCTACTTTTTTAAAATTAATTATATCGAGTAGAAAGTTTGAAAATTTGAAAATATCTCTTTTGCTTTGTATCTTTTCCGATTTTTCCACAGAGGAAGAATTTTTATTTGGAGCTTGAATGCGGAAAAACTACTTCGACTTTGAATTAGAATTAGAAATCACGTTTTGCATTAAGATATTAAAATTTGAATTTTATGCGCGAATCTTCCTATATATATTGAGATGAATGATTTAATGAATGTTTAGGTACAAATATCTTTTACAAAGAAGGCAATTAATTATCTGCTCGATGACTCCATCCTCTCCCCTTTATACATGAATTAAGCAAATGAGCTTATCCAGATACAAGCCGAACGAGAAATTGAGTTCGAAATCCTAAAGCGTAATAATTGATATTAAAATTTCAAATTAGTGTCCCACATTATCACTATGTTGTGCCAAAAATATTATTTAGAGAATAAAAAAATTCCTACAAGATTCCTAGAAAAATACCTAAAAATCGACTAAAACTAATCTTTAAATAGTTCCTAAAAATCGAATCTTTAAATACAAATAAAAGATCATTGAAGAAACTTATATAATCCAGTATTTAATTTGCAATTTGCTCTGCGGCATTATTGCTTTTAAGCCTTTCATATTATGAGAGGACAGACATGGGGTGATTCACGCAGGCGTAATGGAATCGGGAAAATTAAGCTACACCGAGAGGATCGAGATTTTACCTATTCGCGGGGTGTGTAACTCAATTTTCAAATTTTACATTCAAAGGATCATCTCCAGTTAATCGGATTTGCCGCGTCTAGGAACGGAAATATTTTTGACGCTCTTTGATAAATGATGTACAATGTTTCTGTATGTATTTCGAATAATTCAGTAATCAGTATTAGGTATTTTTTTATTATTTGTTTACTGAGAATTTAAAGACAATAAAAAAAGGTATTCTGCTTTTCAAACATTTCCAAAAGAAATTAATTTCGAAAAACTATAATCGTTTTGGAAAAGGAAAAATTATTTGGACCCCTATAAAAAATGTGGAGCAGGTCGAAATTTTTTTCGGTTTCTTCCGGTGAATATTCATAAATTTTTCTTAAATTGAGAACCGTGTAAATTGTTTCACATATTTTTTTTTAATGACAATGATTTTATAGTTTTTCGTGTAAAGCAAATCGAAGGCAAAAGAAACTTAAAAAAAAAACGATAAAAAAAGGCATTTTATTTTATGGAATAATATGTATCCGAGGGTGCGGAGAAATTGCTCCAGTGTCTCCACTCACGCAATTAACAGTAAAACGTGTGAAGCACGTTCTGCTCTTGAAACTCGTACAGTTCAATAACTTGCAGACGACAAAAGCCTTTTCAATAAAACGTTATTGTAAATCCACACAAATCGGTGTTGTTGAGTATAAAGAAAGGAATATCCGACGATGAGTGTTTTCTAAATTTAGACGAAAAGATAAAGGGGACGTTGCTCATTCTTTTACCTAATCTCCACAAGAAAGTGCATAAATTAAAAAGTTTTTTTTTGAGATGAGTCAGTTAATTTGAAATTAATTACTAATGGATCTTTGCAGCAAGATTAACAATATTTCTCTGTAAGTTTCAATATAGTTTCCAAGAATATCAAATTGAGACAAAAAATGTATCAATTTGATATCCTTAGAAAAACGTTGCTTCCCAACTATTTTTTATAAGGTTTTTTTTGTCTCAATTTGATAGCCTTAGAAAAACAGTGAAAATATTGTTGGCAATGTTGTCAATATTGCTGCAAGTTCTGTGGGGTATATGAGATTTTTTTGGGGGGGAGGAAAATAAGGAGAGATTTGTAATGAAAACGAAAGATGTGTTATTAATTCGAATAAAACCACACAATGTTTTGTTTATAAACTTTTTCGATTAAAACTTCCGCGTGTGTTGAATTCTCGAAACGCGCGCGCTGAGGGAATGATTCACGCTTCAATGGAGTTCAAAATGTTTTAGAATCGAAAAAGTAAGATAAATGGATTTCGTGATTTTAGTTCGGAGTCTTGGTTTGGAAAATAGTCGACAGAATCGTAATTAGAATGAATGGTATAGTTAACTTTGATGTTTTTTACGGATGATGATGTTTCTGATAATGATTCTGAAGATGTTTCTGATAATTATGATTCTGATGATGTTTCTGATATTGATGGTTCTGATGATGATTCTGATGACATTTCTGATAATGATGGTTCTGATGTTGATTCTGATGATGTTTTTTCTGATAATGATGGTTCTGATGATGTTTCTGATAATGATGATTCTGATGATGTTTCTGATAATGCTTACATTACTTATCTAATGGTATTTAGCACTAATGCCGATGCATTTACATGAATTTTGATATTAGTTGTTTTCTTTGATACCATCCTAAATGCAAATTTTTAGTTTTGGAACAGTTTGATGATGCCAAACACAACAAACAATAGTTTCTACTTGTACTACTCCAGACTTTGATTGTTAGAATCCTCATTAGCTAACATTAGTAGTAATTTATGTTAGCAATGACATCCAAAATCAAGACGAGAATATTCGAAACCGAGAGACCGAAATCGAGCATAAAAATCAAATGTAGTTTTTAACTTCTGTTGGTATATTTACGATGCAATAACTTTTAATAAAGTTTTCCTCTTGATTTTCCGTTATTCATTAGGATCTTTTCTGTACAGTTTCTATCAAGAGAAACTTCTAAGTTGATGATAGTTTCTACGATGATAGTTCTCGTCTTTATAACTAGGATTGATACAATCATTACTAGAATTAATGGTGCGAAGTAGTGTTGCAATGTCCTATCAAGAAATTCCACTATGCAGTTCGCTTTGATACGATAGCATTAATTTATTTTTTAAAAGCTTGTATCAATGTTTTGTAAAACATTTTCATTTTTCTTTCGTTTAATTTTTGTTTTCATTTTCTCCTTTTCTCTTTCTGAATTTTCGATAACTTAACCATTTTCTTCAAGAATTTGTATCCAAACCAATAAAGCGATTAAAATTTGAAAATTTACGCATCATATGCAAACTAGATGTTGAGAAGCAAAACATAAAATTCGTCTCGTCCAAGAATAGCTGTAAATATTTCTGTTTCATCGTGGATGAAGAAGGCGAAGAAGAATAAGAAGGCAGACAGGCTAATCTTTTGTATACGAAGAAAACTTGATTTTTAGAAACGTTTTAAACTAACTAACTAACATGAGGGAGATGGAAGAAATATTGAATGCGTGGGTTGAATGATAGCGAAACAAAGAGAGAGAGTGAGAGAGAGTGAATGAACGCGAGAGAGAAACTAGAAAGAGACCAAGTAAAGTCTCCGCGTGAAGTTAGTTAGCAGTCGATGCGCACACACCACGCGTACCGGACGTCCATATATCAAGTTCCTCTTTTCAACTTTCAAAATAATATATATTTTTATTATTATTCATAGTGTCAGTGTACATTGTGTCTTGTAATTGTTACTAAATAGCATTTTCTATAAAAGTTATTTTTTCATGAATGAAATGGATCTTTGAATGTACAGCACTTCGAGTATAAACATTTGTCACGTGTATGCGACATCTCATGCGCTCGCAATTTGCTGATGCATTATTTTTAAAATAGATTGACAATCGTTTTTCCATTTATAGAAAAAATATTTTATTTACCGTGATATTTTATCAATTGAACAAAAAAAAAAAAAAATTAAACTGGAAAAGTTTGCTAATTTTTAGTGCAGCAGCAACTAACGGAAACTATTCTTCCTTAGTAGTGAGAGGTAACTTTTCATCGTATATTCTTATCATTTTAAGTGTCACTCATAATTTACAACTTTGAAAATACTTCTGACATCAGTTTTTCTTGATAAATGTATGAGCTCATGTGTCGTGTAATTTCGCGGATGAGAAAATTCATAAAGATTTTTAGAGAGTTGGTCTATACAAATGATTCTAGTATTAATGCTATAAACGATCGTAACTAAGTAAAAATTATTAATTACAATTGATACAGAATTACAGATTCTTGAAATGATTCAATATGATACTAATCGTTGTGGTTTTTTTTTTTTTATGAAAATTGTTATGATAAACTTTTAATAATATTTAAATGATGATAGAAACCTTACCCTAAAGGCTTCTCTGAAATTTATTCCATTAATAATGTTGGGAGGCTGAGTAATGAAGGGTTCACGGAGGTTATGTCTACAAACATTGAACAATGCTCTAATTTTGTTATAAATCTCATGACTCGGCAGGTCTTGAAAATGTCAGTAACATGAGCACTTGAAAATAATACACTTAATCCGTTATTATTCCCCAAAAAAAAATAGCAAAAGTAACTTAATCCCCGGAATATATAAACTTTCGCGACATTCGCGACCCTGAATAATTCATCATACTATGCAAATTTCTCTTGCTTTTTCATTCTGATATAATATTTTATTTATTTATCGCATAAAGTGCGGTGTTTCATCGCTAAGATGATTATAAATTTTTCAACTGTAATTTTTGAGATAGAAGAAAATCCTTTTAAAATATCACACACAACCTTGACTTTTGATGACATTTGAGAAATGTCACGAGACACAGAAATTAATTATTATATCGCATTGTCAGAAGGGGATATAATTATTAATTATTTTTAACTCGTCTCCAGTGGTGTTGATATTTATTAACGAAACTAATAAAAAAATTAATTGGTTATACTCTTTAATTAATTGCTCCATTCGAAAGAGAGGCAATAAGAATTAAGAAGTCATTTAATGCTCGTTCAATTTATTTTATACATTTTATATTCTGGACTCTTTCTGTTGAAACCGAGGTTGAAACAAAGTTGTGTTTAACAATTTTTTTTTTCAATTTGATGGGAAATTTTTCTTGACACAATAGCCGTAATTCTTTTTGATTAATTATAAAAATAACATTTAATTTCAGTTTTATATTTTCTCAGCTGTTTTTATTCGTTCCCTCATGTGGAATCTTTTATAAATTCTCATCACACGAGAGATGGTATTTTTTCTTCATCTATTTTATGATTTTTTCGTCTCGAATAAAATTCTTCTGCAATAAAATTCAACGTGAGATCATGTCTATTTTTTGAGTTTTCATTTAGAAGAAAGAACTTGTTTTTTGGTATATTTTTTTGCCTATTTGGAGATGGAAAATATATCATTTTATCTGCGATAAAACCGTATGTATAAAATTGGCGATTGCAGTAAATAAATGGTGTGAGAGAGAGAGATGAGATCATGGCAAGTGGATAAACGGTGGGCGGCCGAGTAATTCAGAGTGTCAGGGAAGGTCATTTGAGTCGTCCCACATATATTTTTATACATTTTGTATATACGTTTATCAATCATCCGTATTATTTTATTTTCGAAAAGGTCACATTCTTAAGGAGGCGATAGTGAAGATTTCCGCAAAGTAATTTTGAAGATTGGCATACCAATTTCGTTTCTTAGCATTAACAACAAAAAAGACTTTTTAGTTAATTCACTTTGTTTTGTTGTAACTAATTGTTTCCTCAAACAGAATTGTATTTCGTTATTGTAAACTCAATAATACTTTTTCCGAACATTGTACTATAGAATCTGAGAAATCCGGGTTCCTACAAAGAATATCAAAATTTAATCACGGTTTGCTATTTTCGATCCCCTTAAAATTAAAATACAAATTTTTAATTGAATCTTTTGAAAATAGCAGACTTGTGATTGCATATATGTTTTGCGGAGGAATTAATTAATGTGGGCAAAGTAAGATTGGCATTATATTATGATGTACGTGTCAAGGGAGATCAATCAAGTGTTCTGCTGTTTCTAGACGTCATATGGACTCTTAGTATTCATTATGAATATGAAAATCGATATACACGTCATTTGTATTATTATATATGTGCAATATCAGACATTGATGAAATTGAATCGTGAACTAGACCGAATTCCTTTCTCGATATCTCCTCTCGCGAGCAAGAATTTCAATGGCATATACACATGTCAAGAGATTTGAGGTAACATTGATATCATTCCTGAGTGAATGTTGCATAATAGATGCTTCTCTGTTTAATGTGCATTTCAAGTTTTGTTCTTTGAGATTCCAAGGTCGTTAACTGTACAATGACATGCGATTTAATGATGTACTTTTCTCATTGGAATGTTTCGTTGTAATTATCATTTCTGTATGATGATGTTTTTTATGTCACTGAAGTTCGAGTTATTTGAAAACTGCGAGGTAGTTTGGGTTTTTATAGAATTTCTAGAGATTCTTCATGTAGGTCCAAATTTAATTTCTGATTCTATAAAGCAAAAACCGAATATTTTTAAATTCGTAAAAGCATTAAAAGAAAGTAGAGTGTAAAATTTGCGTAAAAATAAGTAAGGGAATCCTTTTTGGCATTCTACAAAATACAATCAGATATAAATTCTGAATATTAAAATCAGTTATTTGTTCTTCAATTTCCGTACATAGAAAATCTAGGATGGTACATAAATTGACGGTGAAAGATGTCTTGATTTTTTCTTTAAAGATGATCTGTTTTGTTAATTGTAATTCCAAAAAATACATTATTGAATTATTTTCTTTTCAAAGTTTCTTGAAAGCTAAATAAAAGAATGTATCTTTCTAAATTTAATTTCCGCTTTGTTTGAGATGGTATAATTTTTTAAAGAATACCATACTCTCCTCGCAGATATGATACAGATATTTTGCTTTTTGTTGAGGAAAATTACATTGTGATAAAAATCTCTATTCTTTTGTAGCATTTAATCAGATTATAATCTGCTACTGTAATCGAGAAATGTTTCCTACCCTTTTATCTCGTTTGGCCATCTTTTTTATAAACGGATTGCAATTTTTAATAATTTATTGTAACCTATAATAAGTTATTTCCAAATTTTTATTTACTAATTACTAATTACAAATGAGATAAAATGAGAGTGGCTATAATGAGACTGATCTTCAATGATTTTTTAAATATATTTCAAAATCAGTTGATTATTTTGAGTAATATTGTTTATTTTGAGAAGAGGTTTTTTTTGTCGTTCATCTTCTATTTGCTTTCCTAAGGGGTTTTAATGCGAGGGGAGCAACGGAAGTACAATACAGGGAAACTGAAAGATATATTCACAAGAAAAGACTTAAAACTGAATGGTGTATTCTTTTCTTTAGTGTGTGTATGTGGTTCTTTACTTCTAAAAGAGAGCACTTTAGGTTCGTACTTTTCAGCCACTGTTCTAATGGTTGTCTTGTATACTATAGGTAGTGAAAAGTTTTACCTTTTTTTTGCGCGTGAATTTTACCATTCACCTTTTTTGGTGAATGTACCTTTTCTCTATTTACCACATAGTAAATTTTGAGTAAAAGACATTTATTTTCTTTATTTTCTTCTTTTTTTTCTATTTCAAAAATGATGACAAAATATAGTGCCACTTGTACACGTGTGCCTTAAATTTATGCTTGTGATTGATCTTTTTCTTGGTGGTTTATATATAAAAAAAAAAGTAACGAGGGGTGTACAGTTCTTCAACCCCCCCCCCCTACTTTGTATCGTTATATCTCAACGTGACTGGAACATAATTAAAACAGAAAAATAATTCTCGTTAGTGAAGCGCTCAAGGCACTTGAGATTGAATTTCAAAATTTCTTTTCTTATCTACTGTCTCAAGTAAAGAACCTTCCTCCCTTTTTTTCCCCAACTATCTTAAGCATTGCCGCATTAAATTAGAGCGCACAAATCTTTCTCTCACTTCCGAGTCATTCATTCATTCATTCATTCATTTTTCTTTAGAAAGGAAAACAGTTGTTAAAAAAGATTTTTTCCTTAATTGCAAAAAAAAATTTGTTCCATCATCTGTTTAAATATGTTTCGACATAATTTCTAGGAAAATTATATATTCCTTCCGGATTTGATTTTTAATTCCGGTATTTGCATTTTTAAGGAACGTTTTTTTCTTCTTCGTTTAGTCCTTTTAGTCTTTTAGGCATTTTTACTTTTAAGATTTGAATGGACGAATTATTTAAAAAGTCACGTTCTATTTTTTTATTTTCGTCGACTAATGGAACTTTTATTTACTTTCTTTTTTAGAAAGGAGTAACTTTACTTTTCCCGTTCTTCACTTTCTTTTTATTATACCATTAGGGAAAAATTAAATTATCAAACTATTTGAATTCTTTTATGTGATCAATAAATTATCCGCACCGCTATCCTTTGAAAGCCTCACTAAATAAGAAGGATTTTACCATTTCGGTTTTTCTTTTGATAGTTTTTTTTTTAATTTAAGTTTGTATTTTCGTTTTTAGAACATTCTAAATCAAAAATTAATGGAAATTGCATTTAGTAACGACACGTTTGTATTGAAATTGAACCGTTATGTAGAAGTATCGATTCAGACTCATACTGCCTTTTGGGAGAATTTTATTTCACTAATATATTATCCCCGCAACGAGCCATGAAATTTCAAACTCTGAATACGAATCCAGACATCGTTCCCTGGACATTAAAGTAGTAGATAATTGCAAAACCAAATGGAATGGTTCTTGGCACATGCGGCTAATTTTCCCCAACTTTGGCAAATTCTTTTTTATACCCCGATTCTTCGAGTGTCTTGCAAAATTGTACCGGGGTTAACTTAATGGTATCAAATTACAACGAATTGATACCAAAATTGTGTATCAAATCTAAAGTTAATCTAAATTTTTTGCGTCAACTTGAACATCAAAATTTTTCTTTTTAGTAAAGTTTAACATGTAGGAAAAAAAAGAAAGTTCCTGCGCATACTTTCGA